ATAAGCATGTGAATTACAACCATCTCGAAGAAGATGCAGGAAGGTGAGCATTACAGCCCATTAATGGGACACTGCACAAGCTACTGCAAAATGAATGAATGGAAAACTGACAATGGCAAGGAATATTGCAGTTGCCATGCTAAAACTATTGCTTATAAGAGCACTATTAATGACACCTACTACACAATTGTTGTCTATAAGACGATAATGTCAACAAAGGAAAACAGTCAATGAAAATAAGCGCGCCCGACCTCCGGCATGGCGAGGGAGTCTCGCTGAGGCGGGTAGTGTGGCTCTGGCGATGGCTGCGTGTGGGCGTGCGGTGGCGCTGCTGCTGCTGGCGGCGGGCGCGTCGGCTGCCCAAGGGAGAGACGCGCCGACGGAACCGCTCTTGGCCGCGCTGATAAGACTGCAGGCAGCTCTCGACGACGTCCCCAGCTGCGAATTCAAGACGAAGGATCTCTGGACGGACATCGAGAAGCGACAGCAGAGGCTGGAGAAGCTACAGGAAGGAATATTTCAGAAGATGAATGACATCGCCCGCCTCGAGCTGGAGTATCCTTCGGCTACAGGTAGTGTGTCGTTTAGGCTGCAACAGACTAGGGTATTTTGGTTACGTTTGTTTATCAAAAAAGAAAAAAAACATCAGAATAAAAAGAGAGCTATCCTGGTAAACGTTAGCAGCGACAACAGTAACGATGCCCAACTACGTCTCTCATAACAACGTCATCACTAGTTTAAGGATTCTCACACCGACTCTTGATTCCAAACCAGAGTGCCAGGATCCCTTCCAGTGGATGGCTGGCGGCTGTTACTACCACTCGGGCAAGGAGAGGGCCACGTGGGCGGAGGCACGCTTTGCCTGTGGGCGGATGGGCGCCGACCTCGCCCACCCCACAGACAACTGGTCCTTGAAAGACTACACGAGACAAATCTCCTCGTCAGGTAAGTGGGATTGCTCGCCGCACGTGGAGGTGGAGGAAGGGGCAAGAGCCACCGAGAGAGTGTTTTGTAATAGTAATTAGGGATGATACCACACTGTAGAGTATTTTTCTTGCGCGGGGTATATTACATTTCTTTATGCGCGAAAAACATAATTTTGTCTCCATTTGTGCGGACTGATGGTGAAACAAGTGCGCGGAAAGGTCAAAAGAATTTTATGCGCGGAAGATGATTCAAAAAAGAATTAAGCGCGCGCAGAAAGTTACCCGAGAACTGCATTTGGGCGGACAGAATATGACCAAATATTTTTGTTCCCCGCGCAGACCAAACTCAATAGAATAGGACTGATATAGCTGCTGATGTTGCTGCTGTTATCCTCAGTATTATTATTTTTATCATTATTTTTACTGTCATCATCATTATCATTATCATTATCTTTGATAATGATAATAATAATATTGCCATTGTTATTCTAGTATTATTACAATTGTTATTGATGTTATATTTATCAGCATCTTTATCATTATCATCATTGTTATTATTAATGATATTATCATCATTGTTATCGTTGATTTCATTATTGTTATGATCATTGATATTATTATTATTTATGATAATGGTATTATAATTATTAGTACCATTGTTGTTATTGATATTATTTTTATTGTCATAATTATAAACATCAGTCATCATTATTGTTATCATCATCATTATTATGGTTGTTACTATCATCATCATCATTACCATCATTATTATCATTGTTGATATTATCATCATTACTATTATTATTGTTGTTGATGTTAATACTATTATCATTTTTTATGAATATTGTTATGATTTCTTTCATTATTATTATGAATATAATTAGGATTGTTATTAGTCTTCTCATTATCATTATCATCATCCTGAACATGATCACCATCATCATCCCCATTAAAACCATCACTATCGCGTCGCCATCATCATCATCGTCATCATCATCAACATCAACATCATCATCATTACCATCATCATCACCACCACCACAACCACCCATCATCATCATCAACCCCCCCACCACTCACCACCACCACCACCACCACAGCGACTACCAACTCTCCGACTCGCAGGCTACGGCTACTACTTCGTCGGCGGGCGCGTGGACAACAGCTCCGGCTTCCACGACTGGCGCTGGGTGGATGGGCGGCCCGTGTCCATCGAGCACCGCATGTACTCGCAGCCGCCGGGCCTGGGCGAGTGCCTGGTCGTCGACGGGGCTGGCACTCACAGCATGAAGGCCAAGAGCTGCGACGAGTACAGACGGTGGTACATTTGCGAGGTGAAGGTGAGGTCGGGGTGAGGGGAATCGGACGAGGGTTGAAGGGAGGTTGAAGGGTTCAGTTGGATGTGAAGTTTTTTTTTTTTTTTTTTTTCTTTTTTTTTTCTTTTTTTTTTTTTCTTCCTCCTTCTTCTTCTTCCTTCTTCTTTTCTCTTCTTCTTTCTTCTCTCCTCATTCTTCTTCTTCTTCACCATCTTCTAAATACAAGAGATTTTTTTCCTTCTCCTCGTCTTCCTATTCCTTGTTTTGCGAGGATAGTATCTTGTCTGGGTCATATGACATGTATAATGTTTAAACGCTTATGCACAAGCTGAAGGGACATCCATTTCCGTTATTTTGGCCGAACATGCAGTACATATATTAAAATGCTTGAAGAACTCCACTTATGAACTGTCGTTGTCTTTTAGAATAAAAGGACAATCCATATGTATGTTATTTTATTTTATTTTACTTCCAATACTTTAGTAATTTTTGATTTATCCTTCTTGTATTACTGTACATCAAAAGCTCAAAGATCTTTTTAAGAATGGAAAGACCGAATAAAGTAGAGAGAGAGAGTGAGAGAGTGAGCGAGCGAGAGAGCTAGAGAGAGCTAGAGAGAGCTAGAGAGAGCTAGAGAGAGCTAGAGAGAGCTAGAGAGAGCTAGAGAGAGAGAGAGAGAGAGAGAGAGAGAGAGAGAGAGAGAGAGAGAGAGAGAGAGAGAGAGAGAGAGAGAGAGAAAGATACAGAAAGTAGAGAGAAAACTACATCGAGAAAGAGAGTAGAAAGTAAAGAGAGAGAGAAAGAGTAGAGAGAAAGATAGAAAGATACAGAGAGTAGAGAGAAAACTATATAGAGAAAGAGAGTAGAAAGTAAAGAGAGAGAGAGAGAGTAAAGAAAAGAAAACAAAAAAAGAATCTACATATACGTATTTAGGAACAAACAAATTTGCCATACACACGTGAATTACATACACAAAGGACAAATGCCAACCAGTCTTTCAAACATTAAATACCTGTTTGTATTTGCATTGTTTAAAATACCTTACGGTGAAAATCAGAGAACAGTATTGGCCAAGGATTTCGTCTTTGTAGGCTGGCATCTCATCACGACCTATATTTTGTATAATTAATATATGTGCAGAAGATTTGGGGCCATGAGGATTTTCGGCATTGGGTAAAACTGAAATAAGACAAGGTATTTAAATTTTCAAAAAAATATGGAAAAGCAAAAGAAAGGCAGATTTGAAACAAACATTTATTCAAAGTAGAGAAAAATAATATATTTCTTGTATGTCTTCCACTGGACGGAATACAGTTCCAAAGTACACACAGATGAAGAAACACTCAGTACAGGGTGAGTACATAGTTTTGTGACAGAGTAATATACAGAGATATAATTTGGCAACTTTTCATTCCCTTCTCATGCATCTCCTGGGAAGAGAACGGCGCTTTTCTCTGTTATTCCACAGATAAAAAGCCAAAACAGAAAGGCAGGATTGGTCACTCAGTTCGGACGGATGGAAAAGTAAGTAAAAATGTGAAACTTAGTGAATTACGGATTAGCATTCAGTCCCAGTTTGCAGAGCTGTGAAACCCATTTAAGGATCTGCATCGGAGATAACTCGTAAATAAAGCTAATATTGATTCTAATTACTTTTGTGAGTTAATTACATCCTAATATCTTTATACCTTTAACATGATCAGATTCGTCACTGGGTCCGTGTTTGGTCCTCCATTAAAAAGATACAAATAAAGTATATTAAGAAAAACAGTATTGTATCACAAAAAAAGTATACAAAATTCATCAAAAAAGGTGTGGTGGTCTAACGTGTACACTAAATTATAACTGCAGCTGTATAATGACAACTAAAATATCAAATGTAATTGATTGAACGCATATTATATACAATTAACAAAACACTTGTATCAATATAAAGTGTTTTCTTGAACAAATATCTGACATTTAAACCTAAGAGCGGGATTCAGGAGAGTTATCTTTGTTATCAGCCTATATACACACACATGCACACAATTTTATTTACGATTTAGCAAATGAATCCACGAATAATTAAGATTTTGATCAAGTGTCTGAAGAGATTCGTTAGATTTTCGTATGTCCATGCAGTGACATCACTATGAACATTTAATTTCGTTACATAATCTTTCCCGTTCCTTCCTTTTTCACTCGCCCCTGATCGTATTGCAAAGAGGGATCGCCGCGCCCTCATCCACATTCACTTATCTCTCACGCAAAGGAAACCTCCTGTGGCAGAACACCTCCGAGGCGTCTCTCCAGCTGGCTTCCTCGCTTCCTCGCTCCACTCCCCTCAGGGCTTCCTCGAGAGCAGCCAGCTGACGACGAAGCTGAGCAGGATCGTGACGAGGGAGGCGCTGACGAATTCCGAGCCAGCTGTGAAGCGGAACTTGTGGATCTGACTGCCGGGCTCCTGCCAGGGGTTGGCGCCGTCGTCAAAGTGCATGGGGCATCGGTCGTCTGGGGGGAGGGGGAGGGGAGGGCATGATTAGGTGGTGTCAGGGACGAGAAAAGTGAATAGATGCAAAGATGAGCCAAATAGCTACGAAGTTACACGTGTGAATCTATGAATATAAATATACATGTATATGTAAAAAATACATTGAATGCATGTATCCAATTACGATTATTAATGTGTGTGTACACAGAAATAAAAATCCAGACATACTCTCTCTCTCTCTCTGTCTTTCTCTCTCTCTTATATATATCCATTTTTCTCTTTCTCTCCTCTTTACCTTATTTCTCTCCCCTCCTCCTATCTCCTCTCTCCCCCTCTGTCTCCTTCTATTTCTTTCTCTACTCATGTTTTCCTTCTTTTCTTCTCTCTCTACCCACTCTCTCTCTCTCTACCCCCCCTTCTTCTTCCCTCTTTCCTCTACCCCCTTTATCTCCTCTTCCTCTCCCCTCTCTCAAGCCCCCCTTTTCTTTTCTCCACCCCATCTCTCTCTCTCTCTCTGTCTTTCTCTTTTTTCTCTTTTCTCTCACTATTCATATACACAATCGCACCCTTATCCAGCTGGTTCTACTTACGTTCTCTCTCGTACTCCACCATCTTGATCGCCACGGCCGAGCCCCCTCCCGTTCCGTGCACCGTCTGATGCAGGTTGCAGAAGGGGCCGACGCTCTGGGACATCAGGATCTTGTTCAGGTCAGCTCTCTGGTAAACCTGCAAGGCAAACATATATATATAACTCTATAACTCTAACTCTTCCTCTCCATCTCTCTCTCTTTTTCCTTTTTTTTCCTATCTATCCCTCTTTATATATATCCTCCTCTTTCTCTCTCTTCTACCCCCTCCTCTTTCTCTCTCTCTTCTCCCCTCTCTTTCCAGTCCCCTCTTGTGGCAGAAGGGTCCTTAAACAGTGAAACCTCAATCCCGACAATCGACGCCCACCTCGCTTACTTACCTCAAGGAATCTAAAAGGGTAAGTAAGCAAGGTGGGCGTCGGTACTCACAACCTCCTTGACTTACCCAGCACCTGTACTTGGAGTAAGGATCCAGCTCGTCGTAGGTAATGAGGTAGGACTTGAGGTTCTCCTTCCAGTACCCGACGCACTTCAGCTTGTAGTCTGGGTCAGCTGTTGGGTATGTTGTCGTTAGCGGGGTTCAGAGACACTGAAGGGTATTTTAGCTTCATTTCTATTCGTATTTCAAATATATTTACCACTGAGAGAGGAAATACGACATATCCTGTGACATAGATATACTTTGATATATGATCTTGAACTTGGATCTTTGGACATGCATACACATGCAGGTTTAGATTAGAATCAGAAGAAAGGAAATCAGAAACGGAAAAGAGATGGACATGCAAAGGCAGACTATAAATTATGACAATAAAACAAATCATGAAAATGTCTGGCCTATATATACATTTGTAATTGATTTTCCGCAGGCTTTAATGGTCAAGTTGCAAAGCACTCGGGCCTCAAACATGAAAAAATAAAAGACGCTGTTGATGTTTACCTTTTTCTGGAAATAATCTTAAAGTACAAATTCAAATTCGCTAAAAAGAATAAGGACAATGAGCGCGATGGCCTCATGAGGAGGATGCAAAATCAAATAAAAAATCATGCCATAAAAAGCATCAGGCAGAAAAAAACGAAAATGCTCATAAGCCGCATTCAGATATATAGCAAAAAAATCCAAAAGACATTCGCGTTTATAGACATACCATTCGAACACGCCGATCACTTTCCAAACTACCGAAAAAAAACATTCGGCAGCCAAAAAAAAAAAAAAAAAAAAAAAAAAAAAAAAAAAAAAAAAAAAAAAAAAAATCCAAACACTACAACGAGAACGACATCCCCGAGAGCTCCTGGAAAGCCGTTCCACATACAATATATATCGATATGCCGGCCGTACGGGTCCACGGAAATGCACTTCCTGGCCTCGATCGTGAGCTGCCGCTGGCCCTCGTCGCACACCGAGAGGTCCGACAGCCGCTCCTTGCACAGGATGCCCGGCCGAGGAGCCACCGTGATGCCCCCCAACACGCGGGTCACGAAGGGAATCTCGCCCGCCTGCGTGAAGTTGAATTTGCCGGCCACGGGACAGCGCACCGGCTGGGGGTCCTTTCCTGCGCGCGCCGGGGAGGGGTGGGGGGGGGGGGAGCGGAGAGGGAGAGGTGGTGGAAGAGGAAGGAGGGGAGGAGGAGGGAAGAAGAAAGAAGGGAAGGGGGGTGAGGAGCGGTAGTTGAAGAAGAAAGAAGGAGGAGGAGGAGGAGGAGGAGGAGGAGGAGGAGGAGAAGAAGAAGAAGAAGAAGAGAAGAAAGAAGAAGAAGAAGAAGAAGAAGGAGGAGAGGGAGAGAGAGAGAGAGAGAGGAGAGGGAAGAGAGGAGAGAGAGAGAGAGAGAGAGAGAGAGAGAAGAGAGAGAGAGAGAGAGAGAGAGAGAGAGAGAGAGAGAGAGAGAGAGAGAGAGAGAAAGAAAGAGAGAGAGAGAGGGGGGGGAGGAGGAGGGAGAGGGAGATGGAGGAAGAAGGAAAGAAGCAGATAAACCATTGAAAACAAAAAAGTAAAGGAAAGTGGGGGGACAGAAGGGAAGATAAAAGAAAGACAAGGAGAGAAGAAAAAATATATACATCAGAACATATACCTCCCTAGCACACGAGTCCGTCAAATGTTTTAAAATATAATGGAAATATAACGGCCATACAAGAATCCTCTGAAAGCAAATGATTATTAATAAAACCAAAAACACTTAGAGGTAACACCAAAAAGGAGGTCGAATTAGTGTACCGAATGTTAAAAGGTGATACGAACACAGAAACCCAAAGTGAGAAGAACAGCTGATTGAAAAGGTAAACAAAGGTGACAAGTCTGGCAACAGGCAATGTTAGTGGAAGCCCAGCACGTAGAGGAGAGCGGGAGGGGAGGCTGTAACCATAAGGGTTTCTTGACCAAAAGCTAAAGTGAGAGGGAAGGTAGAAAAAAAGCTGTGAAGAGAGGTACCTGTATCAGACCAAACCCCAAACACCACAAATAAAAGGAGAAAGACAAAGGGGTTAAACATATACTAAAAAAAGGATGAGAGCGTATACAGCGCGAACGCTCGTAACGTACAATAAATATCAACATGTCTGCCGTAGGCGTCGACGCTAATACAGTAATGGGCATCGATCCATATCTCTTTCTGGTCTTGGTCGCAGACCGAAAGATCGGAGATGTTCTCCCGACAGTAGATGTGATCCCAAGGGCTCTTGGTCACGCCCCCAAGGATACGGGTCTCGAATCTCAGCTCTCCGGTTTGGGTGAAGTTGAACTTGCCAGCCACTGGGCACTTGACGGGCACCGGGTCCTTGGCTGCGGTGGCGGTAAAGGGGTTTTTAAGGAGAGAAAATAAAATTCCTGACATTTCTATGGGGAAGTTGAAATGAAAATAATACATAAAAGCAAATAAAAGATCATAAGGGGAAATTATACAAATTATAAAAAATGAAATAAACTCAAAGCAAACACGGAATACAGCAGATTGAAAATAAAGTACCCAAGTACAGTTGGTCAGCCACACAGTGGCAAACATATTTAATAACCCCATTCAAGAAAAAGTCAAGTATCTGTATCTCGACACATGCTACCATACCACGACCTGCATTTCTGTGGAAAAACAAATTAACGTTTCACCGTCTTGAGGATCTAACACTTTTACTAGTTCTTTGGTGTTCTCTTTCACAGAAGGTCGACTTCCTTTAATTTAGGGACCATGCATCAACGGACCAAAACAATACAAACTTCGAAATCCTAAGGAAATATAGTAATGAATACTTAAGACATCAGTTTTTCAAGTCATAAAGCAACCTTTGTATATATACTATTATAAAAAATACGTAAATGATACTTATCACAAATACAAAAAAAAAAAAACTTTCTGTGATAATGTCAACGAAAAAGAAGGCATACCAATACCGGCCCTGTACCCACCTAACATAAGGTCGTAGTTCCACTCCCGGCCGCTCTGGAACTGCACATACGAACACACCGTCGAGAACTCCTCCTTGATCATCTCCCTGCCCTTCCTGAAGCGGATGATGTTGTGGTGGCGAGGCACGAACTCGAAGCACACGTAGTCCTTCTGGCTGGAGGGGGAGGGGGTGGAGACGGTGGAGAGTTAGGGGGACGTGTATCAGTTTGTTTTTTTTCTCATTGGCGTCTTTTCTTCTTTCTCTATTTTCAAATTCCTTACGAGTGTGATGTCTTTTACGAAATGATGAGACTCTCGACTTGGGTAACATGAGGTAACTTTAGACCGAATATTCGACACTAACGAAAAACAATCTCGTAAGTTTTAATCAAAAGATTTAGCTTAACAAAGATACACCACTTTCGAGTTGAAATGTCTGCGGTGCGTCTCTAGCGACCTCTGCAGTCTGACGTTAAAATGATGTAAGACGTAGTAGCTGTATTATTTTGGAAATAATAGTGAATCAAATAGGTGTACTTCATTGTAAATAATATTGGAATCTATATTATTATTGTGTATTTTAGAAATATGCATGAATTTTGAAAACTATGGACATCTGAAGTATCTACTTATGTGATTTTTTTTGTTAAACTGTAAAGGGAGAGTTATCGAATTTGTTCTAATGAAAATACATTGTTTAGTTATGGAAAACGTTGCGCATTGCGAGTTTCTTCTGTCAACGTTGTTTACAAGTTGAGCGGAACACGTGAAGGCTGCCTCGGAATTAGGAGTCTTGAATTGATCAAATTCTGATTTATAGACATAAGGTAAGAACTTTGTTTGAATATATTTTGTTCTTGAGAGTACTTTTGATGGAATTCTAAATTTTGGTGGCCTGTCATGGTGATTTATTATCAGTTTACCGAGGAAATGTAAATGTTGGTGTTCGGGATATTTAACTCTAGGTGCCATGATGTAAGTTAAACCATTATTGTATTTGGAACTATGTGATTGTGGAATAATACAGCATAATTTCTCAGAAGACATTGTGTACTGATTACCTGTGTGTGAGTTTCGCTATCATTGTTATGAACAAGGTTTTGGATCCTCAATTAATTAATTATATGTGTTCTCATTGACTTGAAATTCCTGTGTTGATGCCATTTGTTATTTATAATATATTGTTTACATGGAAACTCTGCTGAATATTCTACCCATGGTGTGATGTGAGACAATCCCTGATTGACAAGAGTCTACTGTTACAGGAGATGACGTCATAAACAAAACGTTTTAACCCCACTACCTGTGGGCCAAGCGCAGATGC